CAGGGCTTTGGTCTCCATTTCCCACCAAACCGAGTTTAAAGCCCTCCTTACTAGGTTAGCGTGCCTGTCTGTGAAGACGCTCTTCCCTCTCTTTGTCAGGTGGATCCTCTCTCTTCCTAGCCATCCTTATTGCTGGAACAACATCCTGTGGTCAAAGAAGGGACAGAATAGAATGGTAACCAAAAGCAGCAATACACTTCTTCCTCTCAGGCTGAGGGGAAACCAAGAAACGTGTTAAAATTTTGAGTCTTATTGACCAGCCTTATCCTACAATCTAGCCTTGAGTGTCTAGCATTATGTATCCTGCATAATAGGGAGAGTAAATCATGCCTGGTGTTTTGTGAGACTCAAAGTAGAATTTTAAATTTATTAATTCAGTAAAACAAATGTAATCCTAATTATAGGAAGCATACAAAAAGAAATCTCCAGTGCCCACTGTAAAACACCATTTTCTGACTGTTTGTGAAATGAAACAATGCTTTGAGTCCTGTTGCCAAATATCCCTAGCAAAACTAAATGAACAGCACGAATGGTTCAAAGACCAAGGATGACAAAGCCCATTAAACAATACTGACAGATGGTAGTGAAGATAGATTTTTTTTTTTGAAGATTACCAAAAGCTGAGCCAGCCTTTCCATTCTGGGTGGGTAGGAGGCAGGGAGAGAGGATCAGAGTTACTGGTAATTTCAATCCAGGGACTAAGAGAAAAAAATTGTGCCTCAAAACGTCAACACCGGTACCAACTTAGAGGTCTCGGAAACTTTTGGTTCCCACTAATTGCAAAGTATCTAGGTATTCAGTGCAGGAAACAAATCTATGCTGTGGGGAAAAAATTACCCTTAAAGGCTTCAATGGCAACTGTGGAAGCATTCTGCACCCAGGTAAATGCCAGCTGTGTTTTAAGCTTTGTCAACAGTTACTGGTAGCTGAAGGAAAAAGCTTCTTGCGCATTTCTGATCGAAACACAAACCAGAAAATGCAATAGAATTAGGAAGTGAAATAGTTTTTCCCATACCGCGTCCTTGTGAAGACTAGCCTGTGTTTCTACCAACTGGCCCTGAATACTCTAACAGCCCTCCAGAAAAAGCAAATATAAGTCCAGAAGTACCTGACTCCTTCCTGCTACCTTTGTTCCTGGAGCATTGATCTATTATCAGCTCATTTAAATAGTTTACAAAGTGCTATTTGGTGCTTCATCCCAAGGATCTGCCAACACATGGAGGGAGTATTTTGTGACTAATGCTCACCCACCTGCTCCAGGAGATTAAAGGAACTGCTGGAACAAAGCTCCTGTGAATTTGCAGTGGAAAAAGAAGGAAGCTGTTTGGAAAGCAGGTTATCTTGCTTATTCTTATTTGCCCATGTAAGGCCAGGCCCTAGGTTTGATCTCATTTCTAATTTAGGTAACTGAAACCCATTATTTTAATGCCTTCCTAATTGCTTTTGATCCATTCAGAACAATACAACTTTAATCTAGAAGCTGGCAGTATAACTACCCTGTGTTTTCAAATAGCTTTTTCTTCACTTAGAACTGTTGCCAGTTCTCATGTTTGTGTATTTTTCCAGCAGACTCGCTGATGTTTGTGTATTTTTCCATCAGCGAGTCTGCTGGAATTTGTTCCCTTTATTCAGGCAGTTTAGTCTTATGATCCCTCACAGCAAATACAATGAAACTATTGCATAGATTAGTGATTCTAGATCGCTTGGGATGGAATCTTTCCTTATTATTTACTTGGGTATAAATCTGTTACAAATCTCTTGCAGTGCTCAAAAGACTGAGACCAAATCCTTAGCGTTTTCTGGCCCTTTTGCTTTTTTACATGATTTATATAGCCTGATTTTCTTTTATGCATACATTGCCTTTGCTTTAGTCAGTTATAGCCTCCATGATCACAAAACTGGGAGGCTGGTGAACTGTTTTCTTCCCACTTGTTTTTAAAAATCTGTAGACCTGAATGCCAGTGACTTACCTGAGCTCACTCAGGAAGTCTTCAGCTAATCACAGAATTGAATCTGCTGTGTCCCATTTTCAGGCTGGCACGGTGGCACCAAAAGGAAAAGGATTCTTCTCAGTCTGAAAGTGTTTGTCCTTGACAGAAATCTGGCCCTGGAGGCTCACAGGGCTCAATATGTTACTTAAGACCAACTTAAGACTTCACGAGGGAAATCTTTAAATCCTTTCCCTCTGCACACTACCAAAGTCATATTCCCTTCTCACACAGGAATTCTCCTCCTGTATAATACAGACCATATAGATTAATGCAATTTATTTCCTATTGTGGAAGGAATGAGTCCTTCCTGCTATAAACTGACATAATGGTCTGTTTTGTTCCTGCTACCATGTACAGGTGACAGTGGTTCCAAAACCTGCCTGAAAAAAAGATGTAAAAAGGGGCAATATGAAGACCATGTCTCTAAGTGCTCCTCAAATATGCATGAAACCTGCTGGCTCTACTTAACACTGATAGGGGAAGATGAAATTTTGGGATGTTATTGGCATGTTAAGTTTATAGTGAGGTCAGTTGCAGTTCTGCCCTTAATAGCAATGGGAAGAGACGTGTGCATCAGCTGTTAATTTTATTTGCACAATAAGGCTAGGTACTGGCATTCAAAAAGCCCGAGGCAGAATTGATCTAAGTTACGCAGTTTTCTGTTAGTGGCATAGTTCAGGTGGGTAGTGAACAGAACATACATTCGCCCTTTGAGCGGGGAAGCAATTCTTAGACTGGGTTCCACCACTTTTAAACGAGTCTATATATGCCGAACTTCTGTTATGGGTAAGGATCAGTTTCCAATCACCTATACTGGTAAAAGTGTGACAGCTGTACCTGACTTAAAGGAATCGAAGGGAGCAAATAGGCAGTGAATTACATTAACTCTTCTTTAGAGCTAATTGGCATCTAATTATATGGTGTGCCAATTAATCCATTTTCCAGGGTAAGAATGAACATCAATTAAGACCAGTTATTAATGAAGACATAAATTAGATGTAGAGCTTGAAACACAGCTCTGTTTTTAAAGGACTTTACTTATAGGAGTGAGGCAACAAAGGACTTTGGTTATAGGAGTGAAGTGATATAGATAGATATAATACAGCAGTGGTTCTCAACCTTTTTAAACTGAAGACATCCATGCATTAACTTTTGTGACTCAAGCAACACCCTGTTTCAAAAACTAAATTATTACAGCACTTACCTCCTTACCGGGGGGGTCAGGAGAGTGGCCAGGCAGGAAGCTGAACTCTCACCTACTGGTACCCTTCAAAGGATCTGGCAGCACCCCATTTAAGAATTACTGAAGTAAACTATCTACATTGCAGGCCAAGAGTTTTGTGAAATGCAGTCCACAGATATTTTGAACACCACTGTGTGTCCACTAGAGGGGTTCAGCATAATTACAGCATGTAGTACAAGTGAGATTACAGTAGGTCTTGGAGGGCCAAACTCCGCTGTTCTATGTATTGTACAAATTCATAAGAGCCAGTCCCTACCTAGAAGAGTTTACAACTTAAACATCAGAGTAAGTAGGAAGACAGCACACAGAGGTGGGGCTAGAACCCCAGCAACGCAGCTCCCATGTAAATACCCTGCCAAAGAATATAGTACCCTATGGCAAGGTACAGACATTTCACTTTTACCAGTATAAATGATCAGAAACTGGTCTATACCCATAAAAGAACAGGAGTTTGGTGCACACAGACCAGTTTAAAAATGTTGGAACTGGATCCAAGATTTGCACCCCCCACCAAAAGGTGAACGTGTATTCTGTTTGCTACTGATCTAAACTATGCTGCTGACAGAAAACCACGCAACTTGGATTGATTTTGCCTTGAGCTTTTTGAATGTTTGTACCTGGCCTATGTATGTCCATGAGGTAAATGAGGGTGTGATGTGAATGTTGCAAAATAGCTAACACTCTACTCTCTTCATTGAGGTTGCTCTATTAATGAAAGTGGGGTAATCCTTAGAGTAACAAATGTGTAGTGGGGCAGTTGCTGTAGGGTTGCTGACATACTGTAAATTCATATATCTATAGTTTGTTACAGTGACATATTCACAGTCGCATACTCTAAAGACCACTTTGTTTCCCTCACGGTCTGAGCTGCATTTCGGAAAGTATTGCTTTTCTTGTTGAGTATAATTTAAACGGGTGAATTGTTTTTCAATATGCAATACCGATGGTATTTCCACTGTCTCATGTTCTAGCAGGTATACAAGGATTCCCCTGTCATTCAACAGTATTAAAAAAACCTATAAGCAGGAACAAGATCTCATCCATTCTCCCACTCCTTTTCTTTAGCCTTTATCATCCTCAGTAAAGGATTTGGCTCTGGTGTTTTATTTTACAATACACTTCGGGATTTCTCTACCAGAATGAGAAAGAGATGATGATTATTTAATTATTCAAAATATCTACTCATATTCCATAAATCATAATAAGGAAAACCCTAAAAGTCTAGCTGCTGGCTATGCATGGGGCATATGCCCAAGAACCAGCATCCAGAGATAGCAGAAGTGTTTCTGTACTGAGTTTTAATTTCCTTGGATCCCAAATTGGTCATCCTATCAGGAAAAAGGGGATGGAGGGAGGCTGTTTCCTAGTCCAGCCGGACTGACTTCCCATCCCCAGTGCTATCGTCAAAATGTTTCGACTTTCGAAACATTTCCACTAGCCTCATTTTATTTTGATGCTATTTGGACGGCCTTTGTTTCATTTTGATTTTGCTGTTTTGACCTCAGAATGAGTTGAAACAGTGTGAAAATGAAACGGCCGTCGAAATTTCGCACAGCCCTACTTCTTCCAAATCCCTGGTTTGCTGCAACTTTCCTGAGTGACTTCAGAGAAATCCTTCCAGTGGAACGCAGGACTGAGTTAGGTACTTCAGCATGGGATTCAGAAAAGTTAGCTTTCTGAACCAGAAGCCACCTGGAACCAGCTACCAGGAAATGCTGAAGGTAATGGTGTGTATCTTAGATCTCACTCCTCTCCAGGACTGGGACTTTCCTCCAAGCAGGACATAGAAAATGAAGCTGGTGAAAGTCCACACAGACTTCAAAAGGCTGAAGTCCCTTTATACATAGAAAACTAAAGTTGAATTCTGTCTTCTTCCTGATGGAAGTCAAACTTGTACCTCTCTCCTCCCAGGACCTTCACTACAAGCTATTCTGAGACAGGAGTCATTTTCATGCCTCCCATTATAGCTCTTTCACTATGCAGGAAAAAACTAAACCTGTAAAATGCATTGGATGAGAAGGAATATTCACAAAAGGGCCCATGGATCTTTGTTCCCATTTAAAGCACTCAGGAGAGGTGGATAGCCAGCCAGCCCTTGGTTCCCACCCCTGCTGCAAGCACTGTTTATACATTTTACATGGCACATCTGTTAGACCATTATTCTAAGAGACAATCTATATTGAAGCATGTGGTGTTTGAACAAATTCATTCTACTAAAGTTTTATGTGAAGACAGTGTAGCCCAGGGGATGTTCATGAACTGTTCATTCTGAACTTTCCATCAAGTCTTCAGTATTGAATATTTGATGTCTGAGATGTCTTGGTACAGGCAAAAATCAGAAAGCCATGACAGTTTTGTGAGAACATGTCAGTTTTGTCAAAATTTGGGAGCTATTCCAAATTGAAATGGAGTTAGTTTAAGGCTTTGCTTTAGAAAATTCCCAGCTACTTCAAATAACATTATAAGGGTTGAAAGAATGTTGGGGGGGGGGGGTTATGTAGTAGAAATCAGGTTATTTTTAAAAATATACAAACATCAAAATGTCCAGGAGGATACACACCTATTTCCTGCCAGTGAACCTGCCTCAAGGTCAAACAGCTTGGACCTTGGAGGCCCTGGCTCCCAAGAGCAGATGACGGGAGAGGGAGGGTCTGCATGGTGCTAAATTCCATAAGCAGCCATTGGCTTTAAGCACTATAGAAAAAGTTTAACCACTCAGACTGAAGATTGAAAACAGTGTCAGTTCAGTACTTTACCCAACAGTGGTAGTTTCTGACTCTGGAGAGCTCAATGTAAAGCCTATCTTAGAAGAAAATGAGTTTAAATGGGAGATAGGGGCATAATCAAGATCTCACATAAGTACTCAGCACTGCAGCCTGGGACCCTAAAATGATTTTTGCCCTGTAAGCATTTGTACCTACTCAACTTTGTTTGGATGAACGTTCATGACAGCAAATGGAAAAGAAGTGCAAATACAGCAAAAAAATGAGTTCTGTTCAGAAGTCATTAAAATGACTGAATTTCTCTGACTGCTCAAAAGAGCGCCTGCTCATACATACAATAGATATTAAAACAATCCTTAAAAATCCTCCTGAGAAGTATATGTAGGTGCTGTATTGATAGCTGTTTTCTTAACAGCTGATCCATTTTTGCTCTTTATCTTCCAGGATACAATAAGCACAGTTCTTTCAAGATGCTTGCATATCAAGTATAGGTTTGACTATGTGCCATGCACTGCACAGAATTTGATTAATGCCAGAAAATGTCATCTGAAAAGGGATGAGTGCTGTAGCTTTGATTACCTTGTATAAGTTCTTTCAGACACCCTGATGAATTGAATAGTAGCGTTTTATATTCGCTGCCTCATGCATAATATTTGCAGCAGTTATGAAAAACTTGTTTCACACTCAGTACACAGTCACCTCCTACTTGCTTCTGTAGTAGCATGCGATCTAATGTTTAGAGACACTGCTGTTTAAGCAAGGGACCTCACTGATGTTGGTACAGTTACTGACAAAACTGACTGTAAGATGAGCCAGCAGTGTCCTTATCTTTTCACTCACTTAGGGAAATCAAGGTCAGTTCAGCATCAATGAAACCTTCCTCTCTCCCTTGGAAAATCTAGTTCTTCTCATTTGGAAACAGAAACCACCACGATAAGCCAGCATATTAAGGAACGTAACAAGTGGCCAGTTCATGAGTCTTTACTAAATTTATTTACGTATAATAATTGCCCAGACACCAATTGAGAATAAAACCCTTTTGTGCACTTTGTTGCACAGCTATGTAAAACAATCCCTCACTGCTCTTTAAAAGCTTACCATTTAAATAAGGAAGATAGGATATAGGGTTATTCCCCCAAGGGGGGCACTCAAGGACTAAGAGCATCTCTGCCACAAGCTATTGTGCTAGGCAGCAGAGCTGTCAGAGGTGCTGCTATACAGCTCGGTGTGCATTTCCAACAGACTTGATGTTGTGCAGCTGCATTTGCATGGTCCAGCAACACAGGTGCAGGGGTGCAGCTGAGCCACTTCAGTTCTTAGGAGTGCTAATGAACTTGCCTTCAGTGTAACGTGAAGCAGTTTCAGCATGTTTGAGAATGCTGCTGCCTGGGATTGTAAGTCTGCAGTGTAGATGTGCCCTAAGGGCCTGTTCCAAAGATGGAGCGTAGCATCAGTTCATTTTGGGATGCTCAAAGCCTCTGTTCAGCTGCTGCTGAACACTAGCAATGCCTCTGGTTTCTGTTTAAAAGTTCCCCAGGTACCTAAAAGTTTTGCCTCGACACACCCAGAATCCATTTAACATTCACAGCTTGAGTTTGCTGTCAGACCTAAATCTGACTAGGATCCAGAATAACAACATGCCTCCTGGGGATTTCCAGAGCTGAGTGGGGAGGGGAAGGCTTGGAGTCATAGATGTAGGGTCAGAAGGGACCTAAGTAGATCAAGTCCGACCCCCTGCCCTGGGCAGGAGAGAATACTGGGCTCATACGAGCCAAGATAGGTAATTGTCAAGCCTCCTCTTAAAGACCCCCAGGGTAGGAGCCAGCACCACTTCTCTTGGAAGTTGGTTCCAGATCCTAGCTGCCCTGACTGTGAAATAATGTCCAGCCTGAACCTACTCTCAAACAACTTATGGCCATTGTTCCTGAGTCAACCTACACTCAGGACTCAAACACAGTCCCTGGCTGCTGCTGCCACTGCAGCATGGTCTGCTCAGACTAACTGTTGCTCCTCAGCAGCAGTGCAGTGTCTGCGCATCTATCTGTGAGGCTGCTTCTGTTGCTGGGGTGCAGACTCCTCATGGTGGGGTGCAGTTCTGGCTTCCCTACTAGCTTGGTGCCTGGGACTGGTGCCCTACTTGCCCACCCCATTACATTACTGGCAGCTTTACACCACTGCTAAAAAGAAAGGACGGGCTGACACATTTACATCATTTACAGCTCTGCAGAATCCAGCCCTGCTTACTGTAGTTGGGAAATGAGGATGATGTTCTAAATTTCTCATTCCTCACACTTTTAGGTCAAGCATGTAGGATCCAGTACGCAAATAGAGGGATCATCAGACCTAAGAAATTTTTACTGCAGCGTATGATCAAAGCACATTTAATCTTTTTCTCAAGATGATTGTGTGCTCTCTTATCACTCTCCCTGTTTGATTAACTAATTCTTAAATCCATAAAGCAAAAGTAGGATAGCCACAGAAGCACTTGTAGCATATATGCCCTGTGTAGAGATTGGCAGAGGAGTACAAGCATCTTTCTCCATGAATTCATGCAAGTGAAGAAGGCCCATAAGAATATTATTTGAAAGATGAATATTGAAGTTAATTGTGAATTCAGGAGATTAACTGGTATTTTATCACTCTTGATAACCACCCCTTCAAATCTATGAGAACTAATGTTGCTTAGGAACATACAATTATCATGCCTATAGTGTATTTTTAATGAACCTTAGTTCAGTTGGATCTCCATTGCTGTTAAGTTCAACTGAATTCATGAGCGAGTCTAAATTCTAATGGATTCCCTGTGTAAATAAAGATGGGCTACAAAAGAGTCGCTGCTTTTCAGTTTACTCTCCCATAGTATTCTGAAGTCTTCTTCGAGTTAACAATAAACCATTAGTCTCATTAAAAGGCAGGCCAATTTATTATTAGTTTTAAAAAGACACTTTTATTCAAGTGTAAATGACAGGATAATAGAATATATGTTTGACAGCTCACTTAGAAAATTGTAGCTTTCATCATCTTATGATAAATTTTTCCTAAAATAAAAAGAACACCCATGGAAGAAATTAGAATCAGTTTCTTAGATGGGTAGAGCAATAACCATGACAAGTAATTCACTTAGCTAAAGCAGCGTCTAGGATTATAACAGAGAAACACTTTGGTTCAGATCAGGTTTTATTTGCGTTGCATAAAGCAAAGTCAGAAATACCTGACAAACTACATTTTTAAAGTGTGCAAAACACTCAGTAAATAGAAAGGAAGAAAACACTCTCATTTTCCCCACTTTTCCAGCACATCAGGTTTTCAAAGGATAATAGCTTACATGACCATAGGAAAGCAGAGCTAGAAGGGACCTCCTACAGTCAGTTAGTTCAGTCCTGGTTCAAGGCAGAGTCATCCCATCTGAAAACAATCCCAAGTCAAGTATTTGCTTAACCTGGCCTTGAAAATTTCCAGGTATGGAGATTCCACCATCTTCCTAGATAGCCTGTTCCAATGTTTTACTACCTTCATAGCATGAAAGTTGCTCTTAGGGGCACAAACAAAAGTGCAGCTCCCCTCTGCAACTCACAATGCTTTGCAGGATGCGTTGATCCCCTGGACCAAACAGAAGTTCACTGTTGGGTCCAGAGGGAAGGGGAAGGGGTTGGGGGAACCCAGCTGTTGGCTGGGAGCCTGCAGCCAGTTTCCCCTAAAAATGGGCCCTCCTCCCTCCCAGCCCAGGCCCTGTTTTCAGAATGGGAGGAGGGAAAGGGAATGGAGGGAGCTCATTCTAGGGGTTTCCCAGCCAACACTGGAGGGTGGGGCAGATGGATTGGAGCCCCCCCCCATCTGGGGGGGGTTGTAATCCACCTGCTCTGCCCCTCTACTGCCAGCTAAAAACCCCTCCACACTGAACTCCCTTTGCCCTTCCCTTTCTGAAATCAGCTCTGAGGCTGGGAGGCAGGCAGACACAAGTTACTAAAGACCCTCATGCAATGAGATTTTCATGGGATTGACCCTTTTTAGAGTGCTTTACAGCTGTGTACTTCTGTTTGGTCACAGCTGTAGTGTGCTTCCAGAGGCCGACTCAGGTGAAAATGTTCACTTCTTTCTGCACCTCCAATTTCTACCCTAAATTTCCTCTGTCACAGCTTGAGGCCATTGCTTCTAGTCCTGTTACCTACGGTCACAGATAATAGCTGGTCACCACCCTCTTTGTGATCTTACTTCAGGTATTTGAAGGCTGTTATCAACACTACCCCTCGCTTTGCCCCCTCAGTCTTCTCTTCTCCAGTTAGGTCAGGTTTACCAGGCAGCTGGGCGTTTTTGTCATTTTCTGATGGAATCTTCCAAAACTGTCCATGTCTTTCTTAAAGTGTAGGGCTCAAAACTGAGCATAGTACTCCAGATGAGGCCTCATTAGTGCCAAATAGAGTGAAAAAAACACTTCCATTGATTATACAACACAGTATGCTGTTGGCTTTTTTTTCTTTTTACACAGCAAAAGCACACTGTTGGCTTATATTCAGCTTATTGTCTATTGTAACCCCCAGGTCCTTCTCTGCAGTACTGCATCCTGGCCAGTCATTCCCTGTATGTATTTGTGCATGCAATTATTCCATCCATCCCAAGTGCAAGACTGCAGTTGTCTTTTTTGAATCATTTGACTGACTGTAGATCAGCTCTCCAATTTATCCAGGTCACTGTGGTTCCTGAATATCTGGATTTCCACCCAACTTGCTGTAATCTACAAATTTGCAGACTGTGGACTCAATGCCATCATTCAAATCATTGCTAACAATAATCTTGTAACAAACTTATCTACATATCTGGAATACTTCATGCACAGGTACCTCTTTTGTTTAATTAAAAGCAAAGGCACAAAAACTAATCGTAAAATCCATTACCGTATTTACTCAATTAGAAGATGAGGTTTTACTACTCAATTAGAAGATGAGGTTTTACCCCCCATTTAACATGGGGGGAGAAAGCCCCTTGCCTTATGATCAAACACAAGGCAGCAGGGGACAAGTTGCTGCTGTGGCTCCAGCTCCAACTTGGGGTAGGAGCCAGAGCTGGAGCTGCCACCTGCTGCCCACCCCACCTCTGCATGCCCTACCACTCTTCCTCCGCAGCCCCCAGTCTCCCCCACCATGCCACTTCTCCCTCTCTCTCCCCATCTCTCATACTTCTCCTTACCTTTGCTCCATGTTGCCAGGCTCTGTCCTTGCTGCAGCCTGAGGCATGGAGCATGGGTCCAGCCTGGTCCCCTAGCAGTGGCAGAACCAGCATTGCTACTCCAGCCAGGCCCTGTAGCAGCCATATCAGATTTTACCCTTTACCAGACGAAAATGCAGGTTTCTTGTTTTACCAGAGAAACCTGTGGATTTTGCTGTGGTGGCAGAGTTCTAGCATGCAAGGGATTGGGAGGGAGCAGGAGGAAGGCCCCAGGCAGCCTGGAGTGCAGCTCCCATAGGGGGAGGTGGGATTGAGATTGAGAGGTATTGAGGCCCCTATAGGGAGGGAGGGAGTTGGGCAGGGCTGGGGCTGCTGCCCAGCCAGACAGTGCATGGGGCTTGGGACCCAAGTCCACAAGGCGTGGCTGCAGGGCCTCAGTGGGGAGCAGGATGTCCAGGAGTCAGGGTGGTAGGGCTGGCTCCCTGCCACTGTGTGCACTTCCGATGGGTCAGGGGGACCTGCACCCCCTAGATCTGTGCACTGGGCAGGTGCAAGCTGCCCTCTGTGGGCCTAGGCTCCACACCCTGCTGCCCTCCCCCAGGGCCTCCACAGCCAGGTGGGTGCGACCCAGAGCTGCAGGGCACAGCGGGGCTGCATGGGGATCTTCTTCCTGCTGCGAGTTCCATGCTGCTTTGGAGACACATCGCCTGCCTGCACAGCAGCAGTGAGGGGCACAACCCTGCGCTGCTGCCCCCACTATTGCCACACATGCAGGGGACATGTCACCAGGGCAGTACAGAGCTCACAGTGGCAAGGAGATCCCCATGCAGCCCTGCTCTGCCCTGCAGCGCCAGGTCACATCCACTGGGCTGCAGAGGCCTTGGGGGAGGGCAGCAGGGAGGGAAGCCCAAGCCCATGCACAGATCTGGGAGGTGCTGGACCCCACTGCCCCCTGGGACTGTGTGTAGCTGTGGGAGCTGCCTCTCACCTGCCTGATCCCGCAGCAGGCAGGCAGCGGGGCGGTGGCGGTGGAGGGAGGGCAAGACCAGGGACCAGGGCTCTGCTCCACTGCAACAGCCACCACCTGCTACCGGGGGCTGGGGGCTGAGGACCTGCATTACATTTTTCTCCACAGAAAATTAGTAATCATGACCCCAGTCAGCAGAGTGTTTACAAGTCATGCTGAGTTCTGAGTAGGTGAGTATTCCCAGTGGCTACTAGAGCTGGATGCTAATCCTCTGCCCCCCCCAGTGAGTCTGGAAATGTGGTGGTGGGGAAGCAGTGACAGCATTAATTGCCAGGGCTCTGTAAGCTACAGCAATTAATTCTGCCAGCATTCCCCACCACTGAGGATCTGAACTGGTGGGGAGCCTGCCAGGCTGGATGATATGGCCCCTGTGCTGGACTGGGTCAGCACATAGGGTTGGGCTGTGACTGGATCTGGCAGATAACATTGGACTAGAGGACAGGGTCACTCTGTGGCAGGATCTAGTGTACAGGGCAGGCTGGTGCATGGGTTCCCTCCAGGACTGGATCCAGCATCCTGACCTCATGCTGGAGCTGGCCATGAACTGACCCTGTGGGGCCAAAAGTTTGTGCACTACCTCTTAGGAGGAAGTGTTGATTTTGATGAAATTCTATTTTGAAAATATTTGGAAAGTTTTGACCTTAATGCTTACCACCATCACACCTGCCCTGCTCCCCCAGCCACATTTTAACTTTGTTGGAACAGAACATTTTCCATTATTCACCTTGAAATGGCTTGGTCTGGAAGTTATCCATGTTATAATAAAAATAAAAATTAGAAAAAATGTTTCAATTTTAATCAATACAATCCTTCAACTGACCCCAAGCAAAATTTGATAGGGTGTTGGGTCAGAAAGTCTTATTTTGCTCTGAATAAGAAGAAACATGTGAAATAACACAATTACTCCTGGATTGGACAGGTGGTATTTCAGGCAGCTCTTAATTACAGCAGGACTGTTTGCCTGCTTCATGGGCTTCACCAAACTTAAGCAGACAGCAGGGCTAGCCATGTGAAGTTCTTGTTCTCCTCCACTCCAGAGGGGCATTTGGCAGGGAATGAATGAGAAGTACATTTTAATTTATTCTGGAAATTCCCTTCATGTTTGATAAACCATGCTTCAGCTCAGCACTATCACTTTTTGTCTTAAACCTCCATTAGCTTCATTGACAAAGTCTTGCCTGAATTTCAAGCTGCTGCAATGTCTTTAGCATTTTATTTGTCCTGCCTTACAAATGGCCTCTTGCAGAAGCCAACTTACAGTATCTGTTTCAAATTTAGTGGTAGAATGGGATTTTCCTGGGCAGACTGAGGAACACAATGAAATATTTATATATAGCATTTCTTGAGGTTCAGCCATTTAGTCCATTTTCAGCAGATATCTCATCAGTCAATTAGACCTAAACCAAGTAATCTGAAAGCACTTTGCTTTTCCCCAGATTTGTGAATGGAATGAAAACCAGCCTCAAATTAATGGTATTGCAGTTGTGGGTTCTCACCCCTGCCTCCTGCCCCAAAATAAAACACTTAAAGTGCTAAGGTTGGGGATCTGATCCTCTCCCTTTAGAAATTAGAAGTTTTTTATGTCAGTTGAGGGACTTAAGAATCATCTCAGCTGGTAGCCAGATAGTTACTCTTGCATAGTTACTGATATTATAGAAACATCTTGGGGCTTCAGTCTTGGAAGGCTTTTTGTGGGGGGCACTATATTTTAAAAAAGACAACACATGAGGCAGTCTATGAAAGTCTTCAGGCTAAATAGATAATAATAACAAAAAATGGAAGGGGAGACCTAGGCCAAGGATCATTCTGGATATATAGACACCTACTTTCCATTGAATGTAAGCCAAAGACGCTCTCTCCCAGATCATGGAGCACACCATCACTGAAGCACTGTACATCTTTGGACTGGGATGCTATTGGACCATAGGCAAATAAGCTAGAGACACATATATCAAACAAAAGTCAGAATTTCAGGAAAATTTTGGTAATCTTCTGAGCCAAACAACAAATTAATTTTTCCTTGGAAGTTGTTTGCAACAAACCAGTACAAAGGATTAGGTGGCTATGAGGAAAAACAAGGTGGTGTCACACTAGATGAGGCTATGTCTGCATGTTGTGGACCCCATCACTGGAGACTGTTTCAAACAAGTAAGACAGATATCTGTGGGGCACAGTCTAGCCTATTTAATTCTGCCTCAATCCACAGAGGTTAGACAGTGAGCATAAGATTATTCACACAGCCCTGCTCACTATGCACTAGCTCTTTTCAGGCTCGTCGGGGGAAGGGGAAGATGAGGGCGGAGGATACATCGGACCGGCACCCGCAACTACAGCCCAGCCCGGACCGACAAGCTCAGCGGACAAACAGGTAAGAGACGGGGACAAGGGGAACGCTGGGACTAGGGGGTCAGTAACAACATCTACAGGAGGCCTGAAATGCCTCTACACAAATGCCCGTAGCATGGGGAAAGTCTCGCCCTCCTGCTGGCTGACACCAGCCCGGACATTGTG